GGACCTCTACCAACGGTTAGGCACGAAGGAAGGCGAAAGGACATCTATAAGATGGCCAAGATCCGAGAGAGGAAGACGAGGAATATTGGCCAAGTCAAATGCATCAAGGACGGAGCAGGCCAACTCTTGGTGAAGGACGAGGAGATTAAGCATAGATGGCGGGAGTACTTCGACAAGTTGTTCAATGGGAAGAATGAGAGTTCTACCATTGAACTGGATGACTCCTTTGATGAGACCAGCATGCGTTTTGTGCGGCGAATCCAGGAGTCTGAGGTCAAGGAGGCTTTAAAAAGGATGAAAGGAGGCAAGGCGATGGGCCCTGATTGTGTCCCCATTGAGGTGTGAAAAGGTCTCGGGGACATAGCGATAGTATGGCTAACCAAGCTTTTCGACCTCATTTTTCAGGCAAACAAGATGCCAGAAGAATGGAGGTGGAGTATATTAGTACCAATCTTTAAGAATAAGGGGATGTTTAGAGTTGTACTAATTACCGTGGAATTAAGCTGATGTGCCATACAATGAAGCTATGGGAGAGAGTCATTGAGCACCGCTTAAGAAGAATGACAAGCGTGACCAAAAATCTGTCTGGTTTCATGCCTGGGAGGTCGACCATGGAAGCCATTTTCTTGGAACGACACTTATGGAGAGATATAGGGAGCAAAATAAGGACTTGCATATGGTGTTCATTGACTTGGAGAAGGCCTATGATAAGATACCGTGGAATGTCATGTGGTGGGCCTTGGAGAAACACAAAGTCCTAGCAAAGTACATTACCCTCATCAAGGACATGTACGATAATGTCGTGACAAGTGTTCAAACAAGTGATGTAGACACTGATGACTTCCCGATTAAGATAGGACCGCATCAGGCGTCAGCTTTGAGCCCTTATCTTTTTTGCATTGGTGATGGATGAGGTCACAAGGGATATACAAGCAGATATCCCATGGTGTATGCTCTTTGCGGATGATTTGGTGCTAGTTGACGATAGTCGAACGGGGGTAAATGGGAAGTTAGAGTTATGGAGACAAACCTTGGAATCGAAAGGGTTTAGGCTTAGTAGAACTAAACCCGAGTACATGATGTGCGGTTTCAGTACTACTAGGCGTGAGGAGGAGGAGGTTAGCCTTGATGGCCAGGTGGTATCTCAGAAGGACACCTTTCAGTATTTAGGGTCAATGCTACAGGAGCATGGGGGTATTGATGAAGATGTGAACCATCGAATCAAAGCCGGATGGATGAAGTGGCGCCAAGCTTCTGGCATTCTCTGTGACAAGAGAGTGCCACAAAAGCTAAAAGCAAGTTCTACAGGATGGCGGTTCGACCCGCAATGTTGTATGGCGCTGAGTGTTGGCCGACTAAAAGGCGACATGTTCAATAATTAGGTGTGGCGGAGATGGGTATGTTGAGATGGATGTGTGGCCACACGAAAAAGGATCAAGTCCGGGATGATGATATACGAGATAGAGTTGGGGTAGCACCAATTGAAGAGAAGTTTGTCCAACATCATCTAAGATGGTTTGGGCATATTCAGTGCAGGCCCCTAGAAGCTCCAGTGCATAGCGGACGGCTAAAGCATGCGGAGAATGTCAAGAGAGGACGAGATAGACCGAATTTGACATGAAAGGAGTCCGTTAAGAGAGACCTGAGGGATTGGAGTATCACCAAAGAGCTAGTTATGGACAGAGGTGCGTGGAAGCTTGCTATCTATGTGCCATAGCCATGAGTTAGTTGCGAGATCTTATGGGTTTCACCTCTAGCCTACCCCAACTTGTTTGGGACCAATAGCTTTGTTGTTGTTGTTGTTGTTGTTGTTGTTGTTGCTGTTGTTGCTGTTGTTGTTGTTGTTGTTGTTGTTGTCGTCGTTGTTGTTGTTGTTGTTAGGTTTATATTTAAATGATTAATTTAACTACTGTTGGGCCATTTATTAATTTTCTAAGATTTAATTGGTGGGTCAAATAATGTTGGGTTCAACATGACAACGATCAGGGAATTTATAGAATATTGTGAACATTTTAAATTTACTATTTGAAGAAACAATTTATTTGATTTTATTTTAAATATTGAAATTGTCTTTGATTTTATCAAGTGGTAATTTGGCTTAGTTAATCTTGATGACCTGGCACCATTAGTCTGGAGTTAGTGTAGCATGATTTTCCGGGTGTTACAAATGACGAACTGCGGTTTGCCTAGGCTCTTCCTGAAAATTGTTGGACGTGATTGCATTCCTAAACTTTAAGTAATTGAAGAATTTATTCTAAAAAAATCAAATACATCAAACAACAAGTTTTGGGCACCAAGTTTACATCATCTGCTACAAGTTTCTAATGCCCTAAAACTTTCTCCCTTCTGTCCTAAAACCTTTTTTGGTTGTCATAAATTCGGCCCAAACATGTGTACCTGTAGTAGTACCCCAGGTCACGAGGCCTGTTAATTATCTTGTGTTGTTATTTACAGAATACATGTGGTTAGATTGAGGTCAGAAATCATGGCAATTGTTAAACTTTTATCGATGGCAATTCTATAACGTATATTTCTATTTATAAGCAAAACACCATGGCAAATTTAGTTTACTGACCATGGCAAATTTAGTTTATTGATCATGGCAAACTGATTTTATTTGATCATGTCAAATTTAGTTTATTTGGTTCATGGCAAATTTAGTTTACTAGTCATGGCAAATTTCATTTTTTAACATGCCCGCGACAATGCTTATGCTTTTGTTTCTTACTTAACCACGACAAATTTAGTTTGTTGATAATGGCAAATTTAGTTTATTGACCAAGGCAAATTTAGTTTATTGATCATGGCAAACTGATTTTATTTGATCATGTCAAATTTAGTTTATTTGGTTCACGGCAAATTTAGTTTACTAGTCATGGCAAATTTAGTTTTTTTAACACGCCCACAACAATCTTTATGCTTTTGTTTCTTAGTTAACCACGACAATTTTAGTTTGTTAATAATGGCAAATTTAGTTCATTGGCCATGGCAAAATTAGTTTATTGATCATGGCAAACTGATTTTATTTGATCATGTCAAATTTTGTTTATTTGTTTCATGGCAAATTTAGTTTACTAGTCATGGCGAATTTAGTTTTCAAATCGTGGCAAATTTTAGTTTACGTGAATTTCGCCGTGGCAAGTTTTGATACGAATCTACCATGGCATTTTTCTTGTTTATACTGGACTTTCAACTTTTTATGTTTTTTTTTCACACACGGCAAATTCATCATACAAACAAGCGGCAATTCTTGATACGAATTTGCCATGGAAATTTTCTCGTTCATATTATTTGATTTTCAACCTTTTGTGTTTTTTACACACACGGCAAATTCATCATACCAAAACATGGCAATTCTTGATACAAATCTGCCATGCCAAGTTTTGATACATTTTCAAATCAGGGCAATTTAGTTTACATGATTTTTTTCTGCCATGGCAAGTTTCAATATGAATCTGCCACGGCAATTTTTCTTGGTCATGGAAAAATTAGTTTACGTGAATTTCTGTCGTGCCAATTTTCCTGTTCATATTTATGATTTTTTAACTTTTCTGTTTTTTGCACACATGGCAAATTCATCATACCAGAACATGGCAATTATTGATATAAGTCTGCCGTGCCTAGTTTTGATATAGATTTGGTTTTTTGATCATGGCAAATTTTAGTTTATTGGTTCATGGCAAATTTAGTTTACAATTCATGGCAAATTTATTTTATTGATCATGGCAATTTAGTTTAAATGATCTTTTCTGCCATGGCAAGTTTCAATATGAATCTGCCATGGCAATTTTTCTTGTTCATGGCAAATTTAGTTTACATGAATTTCGTCGTGGCAAGTTCTGATACGAATTTGCCATGACAAGTTTCTTGTTCATAGTTGAATTCCAAACTTTTTGTGTTTTTCAACACACATTAAATTCATCATACAAAACACGGCAATTCTTTGATACCAATCTGCCATGGAAAATCTCTTTGTTCATACTTGATTTTCAACATTTTGTGTTTTTTCTCACACACGGCAAAATTCTCCTTCAAAACACGGCAATTTTGATTAAACTTTCATGGCATTTTTAATTAAAAATGCAATTGCATTTTTATCTTTTATTGTCTTGTCAAATTTGTGTGTTCTTTTCACATGATTTTTTCAACTTTTTTGCGTTTTTTCACATGGCAATATTGATTTTTGTTGTCATGGCAGATTTGCCATATTTCATTGTGGGCATTATATATGTGTTCATAAACATTTGCCATTGTTTAAAAACAAATATAACGGCAAATAGTTTGGTTAAACTCGAATGACATTTTCTGCTATTTTCAAAGCAGCTGATGGCATTTTTTTAGTATCTGAGCAAAATCTGGGCTTTTATTTGTAAAGAAAAAACCAAAAACTGGGCCTTTTTATTTAATTTGTTGTTAGTGGGCTTTTTGTTCCTCTTTTTCACAGGGAAAAGGGATCTGGTCTGATAGAGGCGTGTGGGGTGTGAGTTCTCTGTCAAACGAATTCGTATATGAGATCGATCCTGTTGTATCGAAGGAGTTGTGTGGTAGGATGCTCCTCCTGCCACACGTGTGGGCAGTTCTAATATTCGCCCACACAAAATCGTGTGGGCTGCCTGCGCGGTATGCCACACAGGATCGTGTGAGCGGGTGTCCATCATGCCACACGTGTGACAGTTATCGGCGTCCTTTATTTTTGCACCGCATAGATTTTGTATTTTATTAATTAAATTTACAATCAAAGTTTGGTACGAAATAGGGAATACAAGGGAGACTAATACACCAGGCCCGGGTAGAATATTCGAGGAGATGCTCTCACGAGTCACACGAGCTACTCGCGTGCTCACCGCGCCCAGGCGTTCCTCGTCAGACCCGCCTCCCGTGTTCAAATTCGAACCGCTTCCCCGGCAGCTTCACAACGGCCACCGTGCTCTTCGCCTCATCCCGATCTACTCCGCGCCTTCGACCCCGCCCCGTCCCGTGTACCGCGTAGCCTCTCCCCAATGGCGAGCGCCGCCTCCTCATCCTCCTCCTCCTCGCAGCCAGTGCGCGTCGTGCTGCGGGTGCGCCCGCTCCTCCCCTCGGAGGCCAGCTCGGCAGCGGTGCCCCCCTGCGTCTCCCTCATCGGCGACCACCCCGGCGGCGAGGTCACCGTCCAGCTCAAGGATCAGCACACCAGGTACCCACTTCTAGAACCCTCGGAGACGTTCCTGTTCTAATTTCCTAAAATTCGCAGCTCCCTTCCCTCCTGGTGCAGCCGCCAGGGAAATGTAACACGATTCGAGATCTGATTAACTCCTATTGTAGCTGCGCCGACGGCTAATTCTGCCTCTTTTGCTCGCCTGTTCCGTGATCCTTCCTCTGGTAATCCGATTTGTTCCTGATCCATGCAGCCGGAGCGAGTGCTACAAGGTGGACGCCTACTTCGGCAAGGAGGACAGGGTCTCCGACGTATTCGACCAGGAGGTCAGCGCCCTGATCCCGGGCATCTTCGAGGGCATCAACGCGACCGTGTTTGCCTATGGGGCAACGGGCAGCGGCAAGACCTACACCATGCAGGTGCCCACTCCATTCTCCCGGCCTTGCCCATAACCTGTTTGTCGAAATGTCGCACTGCCACACTGAGAGCCTATTTCTGAAACAAACCTTGTTGCCACGCAGGGCAGCGAAGATCTGCCGGGTCTCATCCCCTTGTCGGTCGCGACGATCCTGGCGCGCTGTACCGGCACGTGGTGCTCCGTCGAGATCTCATACTACGAGGTGTACATGGAACGGTGCTATGACTTGCTCGAGCCCAAGGCGAAGGAGATCATGGCACTGGATGACAAATTTGGTAACCTGCAGCTCAAGGGCTTGGCTTGGGTAATGTGCTGGCGCTTGGTCATCATCCTTGAGTCTACGTGTTTGCTGGAATGTACCTTAGGCAGTGCGCTTACTGTTGTCTTTTCATTGTTTAAGGTCCCCGTGCGATCCATGGAGGAGTTTCAGGAAGTCTACTCGATAGGTGTGCAGAGGAGGAAAGCCGCCCACACAGGCCTGAACGATGTTTCAAGTAGAAGCCACGCTGTGGTTTCTATAAGGGTCAGTAATGATACTGTCAAAGGGAAGCTTAACCTCATCGACCTTGCTGGTACGACCCCCCCTGCAATAAGGTGGATATAACGTATAAAGCTTTGGACATCCAGTTTAAGACATGCTGTGTTGGTTTCATTTCAGGAAATGAGGACAATAGAAGGGCTTGCAATGAAGGGATCCGCCTTCAAGAAAGCTCTAAAATCAATTCATCGCTGTTTGCATTGTCTAATGTCATTTCAGCTCTCAAAAACAATGAGTCACGGGTACCTTATAGAGAGAGTAGATTGACCCGCATTCTGCAAGATTCTCTAGGAGGCAATAGCCGTGCTGTGATGATAGCTTGCCTGGTGAGTTACTGCTCAAGATGTCTCATCCCACAGAGTATAAATCCATGCTGATTGCTTTTCATTTGTCACAGAATCCTGTGGTATACCAGGAGGCAGTCCACACAATAGGTATGGCTGCTCGTTCAGGACATATGGTGACCAACATGGCTTCAGCAAGCAAGGAACACACTCCAAAAGTAAAGGTGGACATGGAAGCAAAATTGCAGTTGTGGCTGGAATCAAGGGGGAAAACTAAGAGCACCCAAAGAATGAATGGACTTTTCTCCCCAACCGGATGGAGGACTCCTTCTTCCATGAGCCATGTGAAACAACCGCTATCTGCCCGGGTGTCTGGAAGAGCTAAAGCAACGGACCAAGACGGTGCTAAGATAAAAAAGTCAGTGTCTCCAATTTGGCTCTGCAAGTCTGACATAGACCATCTGAAATTACAAGCTCTGAGCTATTTTATCTTCTGTTGCACAGGGTGCTTTTTGATTCAGCAGTCCATACAGCAGTTGAAAACACACCAAAGCCAAGCTCACGAGATGAAGCAAAGACAACTAAGAAAGGTGTGTTGTTTGAAATATGCAGATGAGTTTTATATTTGTGTTGGATATAGATTCTGAATGTACGAAGATCAGTAAGCCAAGAAACAAAAAGGAAAACTCTAATGAACACACAAGAGCAAAAAAACATATAAAACGATAGCTGCACCAACAATGGACTTATGCAGAAATGAAACTGTCTAAATTACAAAAGGTAGCTATTCAATTAAAAGTAAGCGTGCACAATCTACTTGTCGTTTGCTTGTTGTATAACTTCGGAACTTGATCTATGTTTCCATTTTAGAGTCTGAGCCATATGACATGTTTTATGCAGAGGTACCCCCTTCGTTAACACCTTGCAAAGAGGACAAGTCTGAATCTCCTTTTAGGAAAGCTCTTTCTCCCATTCCTCCAAACATGATGACTCCTTGTAATGTCAATTACCCTCCATTGGAGCCCAAAACTCCAATAGGAGCATGTCACATAGTTGAGAAGAATCCAGATGGTACACCTCTTGATAAGTTTAATGCACTTGGATCTAACCTAAAGGTCTGCATGATTTTTCTCCTATTTCATATATCAGCAACCTGTTTTAGTTCAGTACCTATTTCTAAAGATCTCTATGTTACGCAGGAATCTCTTATTCAACAATATCTCGAGTTCTTAAATGTTGCGAACAAGTAAGTTCAAACTCTCAATTTTTTTATAGTTCATTTATGTAGTTGGCTTCTGTTAAACGCACAAGGCATCTTTTTATCCTTTCTAATTATTCACTCGGCCTATCCATGGGTGCAGGGAAGAGCTACAGCAACTAAAAGTATGGTCCTTATATTTCATAATAATCTAATGGATGGTATAGCGGCATGTCCTTTTCCTACTAATGTTTCCCATTTCTTCTTCAGGGAATTGGTGAAAAGAGAGCGGAGTACATTCTTGAGCTCCGGGAGGATTCGCCCAGACCATTCCAATCTGTAAGATTTCTGTACCATGAAATCCTTAATACTGAATGTGAAGGTCACCTGTATTTGTCAGCTTTTTAACATAATGTGATTTGGCAGCTTTCGGACTTGGGGAATATAGGTCTATCAACGAAACAAGTAACGCTTCTGCTGACTTTCTTTTCTGACACATTCTTGTTTTCTTTCTTGTACAATATATGTGCACAAACAGCGCTCTTAAACACTTGTCTATACTGCATCAAACAGATCCAAGACATCCTGCGGAAAACAGCCACAGGAATCTTCAAATGATCACTGGAATGGACTCTTGCCTGAAAACACAGAATGGACTGCCGTTTCTACCACCTTGGAGATGCTGGGTCATATTGTTCACCATCTGTGACCCAATGGATGGGGTTGTACCTGTACTGTGAACTGTCAGCCTGTCGTTGACATAGTTGTAGTTGTACTATTAACAGTCGGCCTGCTGCTGATGCTATTGCTAGGGCAATGGGTCTTGTTGCAATTTTCTCTTGTAATTTTCCCTTTGCAAATTTTCTCTTGTAATTTGTCTTCCTGAATGGTTTGTCTTCTTGATGTGATGCAAATTTTCTCTGGAATCTGATATATTGAATGGCTTGCATATTAGCTTCCATGCACGAGCAACTGAAAATGAGTTCTGCTTGGCAAACCGTGTGCGTGAACTATTTCGATGTGAAGATGATTTGCATGTTTCACAGAAGATTTTGAGCATTAGTTTTTTTGGGTGTCTACTAATCAAGCATTAGTTTGCCTGGTTTGCATATTTGTAAGAATCCATGGCATGATTGTGTACTTGTTTTGATGCATATCCCTGGATTTTAATTTGTAAAGATATACAGTGATAAAAATGTGTCCCTGTGGATTGTATTCTGTAAACATGTTTAGGAAATCTTCTGAATATTGCATACAAAATCTTTTAGTATCAGTTGAAGCAAACAAATGTAATTTGTAAAGATATGTCGCTAGTTTTGATGCATTTGTAAAAATGTATCCGCGTGGATTGTAGTCCATACAAAAACTTTTAGTATGAGTTGAATCAAGCAAAGCCAATGTTACCGAAAATAATGAAAACAACAAAAAATAGACGGACGCCCACCGTGGGGCTCGAACCCACGACCACAAGGTTAAGAGCCTTGCGCTCTACCAACTGAGCTAGACGGGCTGCACGCAAATTTTACATTTTCTACGTTTAGATTACTTAGCTAAGGCGTCAGCAATTTAGCCAAGATAAAGATTTTTTTTAACACCAAGATAACGTAATTTGATGTCCTTGAAGATGCAAATGCTTAAACTGAATATTGTTGGCATCTCAAAAGGAGTACGCACGGTATGTGCAACCGGAAGTAGCCTTGCCGTGTTTGCAAGGAATTTCGTAGACTAGACATACAGCTTGAGACATGAGCAAAACATCTATCCTCTGCTCCACAGCCCAGTTGCTGCCTCACAAATCTATTGTTCGAGTACATTCCTCGCACGGAAAAACAATTCATATCGGTACTTATTTTTTAAACTCGGCAAAAGATTTGCCATTTTCATTTAATAAGAAAGAAGGTTTAGAGTTTGTTGCCAAAGGCCGAATTACAAAACACCACTCTTGCGGCATTGAATTAGGGAAATGCTTTGCTTCTGCGAGACACCGTCAATCACACTCTTCTTTGATTCTGGCGACAATAACTCCACCCTTTCATTCTGTTCCTTCCGTATTTCGAGTAGCATGAGGGAGATGAGCATCCTTTTGGGCTGCGTCTTCCTGGTCGCGTTGAGGCTCCACCAATCTTTAACTGAGTTCATGTGACCCCACTCCAGAAGGTTTATGTCATGAAGGCCAAGCCAAACCTTGCTGAAACCCCAAACTCTAGCTGTGTATCTACATTGGAAGAGAAGGTGTGCCGCCAATTCTTGAACATGTTTACAGAGGGGGCAAAGGTTGCAATTAGGCCATCCTCGTCGCTGTAGCTAGTCCGCCATCCAAATCATGTTGTTGATAACAAGCCAAGCAAGAAACTTGGAGGGCCCCAACTCTTCCAGACCACCTGCACAAGTTTCGTGTCAACTAAGCCCCTGAACTGGACCTCTTAGGCCGACACAACAGAGTAGTGACCATTATTTGTTAGCTCCCAGGAGATGGTAGCCGCCCTATCCGGGTTGAGGTTGATGAGGGAGAGCTTTTCCCATAGATTGAAGAACCCGGTTAGATGATGAATGGATATGCCCGCACCAATGTTAATTAGGGAAACCCAAAAGTTGTTGTGAATTGTCTTTTGGACCGAGCAGTTCTTTCTTCTAGACAGCAAGAAGATGCAGGGAGCAATATCTTTGGGCTTTAGCCCCTCAAGCCTGGTTGACTCCCAGAAAGAAGCACGAAGGCCATCACCAATCTCCACTTTGGTAGCGGCCACAAAAATGTCGCGGTCAGCACTGTTATAGGGGTTCCCTAGCCCCACCCAAGGCTTAATTGGATCCATCCATTCGAACCACAACCACCGAATGCGGAAGGCAACAACAAACTTTTTCAGATTTAAGATACCATTGAAGGAAATATGCCCTAGAGGCAATAATAAAATTGTTTATATTTCCTTATATCATGATAAATGTTTATTATTCATGCTAGAATTGTATTAACCGGAAACTTAGTACATGTGTGAATACATAGACAAACAGAGTGTCACTAGTATGCCTCTAATTGACTAGCTCGTTGAATCAATGATGGTTATGTTTCCTGACCATAGACATGAGTTGTCATTTGATTAACGGGATCACATCATTGGAGAATGATGTGATTGACTAGACCCATCCGTTAGCTTAGTACGATGATCGTTTAGTTTGTTGCTATTGCTTTCTCCATAACTTATACATGTTCCTATGACTATGTAACGCCTTCGATGCGGCTATATCTCCCACGTGTTGAAGCACGACTTAGAGGCATAACCGCATTGAAAGCAATATCACAAGTGAGGTAATCTTCACACAACCCATGTAATACATAAGGGAAAGAGATACATAGTTGGCTTACACTCGCCACTTCACACAATTACATGAATAAAGCATTACATCAACCAGATACAATCAAGGTCCGACTACGGAACCCAGAATAAAAGAAGACTACCCCAAGTGCTACACAGATCCCCGATCGTCCCAACTGGGCTCCACTACTGATCGACTGATACGAAACAACACAAAGGATAAGATCTTCATCGAGCTCCTCCTGAGCTCAGCTGCGTCACCTGCACGATATTATCGGCACCTGCAAGCTGGTTTTGGAAGTATCTGTGAGTCATGGGGACTCAGCAATCTCACACCCTCGCGATCAAGACTATTTAAGCTTATAGGTAAGGGTAAAAGTATGAGGTGGAGCTGCAGCAATCGACTAGCATATATGGTGGCTAACATACGCAAATGAGAGCGAGAAGAGAAGGCAAAAGCACGGTCGAACAACTATGATCAAGAAGTCATCCTAAAACAACCTACGTCAAACATAACTCCAACACCGTGTTCACTTCCCGGACTCCGCCGGAAAGAGACCATCACGGTTACACACGCGGTTGGTGCATTTTAATTAAGGTAAGCTTCAGGTTTTCTACAACCGGACATTAACAAATTCCCATCCGCCCATAACCGCGGGCACGGCTTTCGAAAGTTCAAATCCCCGCAGGGGTGTCCCAACTTAGCCCATCACAAGCTCTCACAGTCAATGAAGGATATTCCTTCTCCCAAGACAATCCAATCAGACTCGGCATCCCGGTTACAAGATGAGCCAGACGTCGGGTGGGCCAGCCCAGAGTTGCCCCTGGTAGCTCCGGACATCGCTCAGTTTGGACCAACGCTTAGAGAAGCACTGGCCCGGGGGGGTTAAAATAAAGATGACCCTTGGGCTGGCCTAACCCAAGGGAAAAAGAGGCTAGGTGGCGAATGGTAAAACCAATGTTGGGCCTTGCTGAAGGAGTTTTATTCAAGGCGAACTGTCAAGGGGTTCCCATTATAACCCAACCGTGTAAGGAACGCAAAATCCGGGAACATAACACCGATATGACGGAAACTAGGGCGGCAAGAGTGGAACAAAACACCAGGCATAAGGCCAAACCTTCCACCCTTTACCAAGTATATAGATGCATTAATTAAATAAGAGATATTGTGATATCCCAACAAAATATCCATGTTCCAACAAGGAACAACTCCAATCTTCACCTGCAACTAACAACGCTATAAGAGGGGCTGAGCAAAGCGGTAACATAGCGAAGCAACGGTTTGCTAGGACAAGGTAGGTTAGAGGCTTGGTTAAAAAATATGGGAGGCATGATAAGCAAGTGGTAGATGTCGCAGCATAGGCATAGCAAAAGAGCGAGCAACTAGCAAGCAAAGATAGAAGTGATTTCGAGGGTATGGTCATCTTGCCTGAAATCCCGCAAGGAAGAAGAACGAGTCCATGAAGAAGACAAACGGACGTAGTCGAACGGGTCCTCACAAACGCGACGTTATCGGAACCAACCCAAAGAAGCAACACCGGAAAGGAGCAAACAACATAGTAAACAACCATCACATAATCATGTCATGATGCACAATCAAGTATGATGCATGTCCGGTTTAAATATGCATGGCATGGCAAAGTGCACAAACAATCCTACAAATTAAGTGGAGCTCAATATGCAACTCCGTTGCATATTGATGAAACACCACGTGACTTATTTAGTTCTCTCTCTTTTAGGTACCCAACAAGATTAAATGTTGATTAAAATGGCAAGGGGGTGAAGCAAAATAAAACTACCTATCTAGTCAAGTTTAAATGAGGCCGGAAGCAACGAACAACAATTCCCGTAAATCCCCATATGCATATATTAGGTTTGGTACTATTCTGTCCTAAAAACAATTTTATAGCTGTTAAACATGCAAAGTGATGCCACCATGTTAAACTAGGCATTTTCCACCTCATTTACATATAAAGTTTATTAAATTCCGAGTTACGGTTATCTAGTTATGAATTAAATCATTTTAACATGGCATAGGGACAAATTTAACCAAAAAGCATGTTTAAACATTTTAAACATGGATGGAAATGACATATTATGAAACTACACAAAATTCTAAGCATCTTTCATATAAAGTTTGTTTTAAGATGATGCACCGTTTGTGAGTTATTATATGCATGTTGTGCAAGGGGTTTTCTATAAAACTGCAAAACCTGGGATAATAGCTAAATTCGCAAAGCCTAAAAAAAAATAGATACTGGGTCGGATCTGCTGGCCCAACAACAGGAAAAAAAGGGGTGGGGCGCC